TTGGATCACTTTGACCAACTGCCTCATCTTCGCTGCATAAATATGGAAATGGAGGCCCAGAGAAGGGGAGTAACCAGCCCAAGGTCACCCAGATACTTCATGAAGGAGACAGGACTTGAATCTAGGCATTTTGACTCTCAATTTAGGATGATTCAAGTCATTGAAATTAAAATATATATAAATTGAGAGATTAAAGCTTATATGCTAAGGAAAACAAGCTGATTTCATGGCTGTACATGAAAAAATGTGTGTGGGCTTGTCTGGGCTCTGGGCCCAGTCTCGTGGTTCAGGCAATTCCATCTTTTCCTTGAATCAGTGTCCCAGACACCTACCTGCCTCTGGTCTCTCTGCTCTAACCCATGCTAAATAGTTCCATCTAAAATGCAAATTGAGCTTAAATAATCCTGCTCTCTCAGTGGCTCCCTATGGCTTCTGGAATAAAATCCAAACTCCTCAGCCTGACAAAATCCCCTTGCCCATCCACCCATGGCTGCCCCTACTAACAATCTCAGCCCCATCTCCCTCTCTGTTCCCTCCTATTTCTCAAGCTTTAATTTAGACTTTATGTCTTCCAGAAAGGCACTGGCCATCACCCTCAGGCAAGGCTTAAGGCATCCCACCCCCAAGGGTTCCCTCAGCACTCAGAGGCTACCTCTATTGTGATATTTTGCCAAACAGTGAAACGGTCAGTTTATTTGCCTGTTTCTTAGAATAAGCTCTAAGCTCCCCAGAAGGCAAGGGCTCTACCTTATCTCAGTTCCTAGAGCCCAGTACAATGCTTGGCCCATGAAAAGTGCCCAACATCTTCCAGCTGAAATTCAGCGAGGCTCAGTCCTTGGTCCTCATCTCTGTCTTTGCTCACTTGCTCAGTGACTTTGAACAGTCTATATGTCAATGACACCCAAAGTTCTCTCCCCAGTCCAGGCTTCTTTCCCAAATTCCAGACTCATATACCCGACTACCTACTTTCCATTTCCACTAAGTTGTCTAATAGACATCTTAAATTCAGTTCAAAATCGAATCCTCCACTGCTTTATTGTTCCCAAGCCTGCTCTACCTGCCTTCTCTACTGGTGGCAGCTCCATCCTACCACCGGCATAGGTAGCAGCCTCTCTTTCTCTCACATGCCAGGTCTAATGTGTTAGGAAATCCTGTTGGCTCTGTCTTCAAAATACATTCAGAATCCAACCACTTCTCACCACCCCCACTGCCACATCCTGGCGTGAGTCACCACCGTCTCTCTGCTGGGTCACTGCAATGGCCTCTCAACTGGTTTCCCTGCTTTTACCCTTTCCTCCCTATGTCTGTTCTCCACATTGTAGCTAGAATCAGTCTTTGAAAATAATGTCAGAAAATTATCACTTGTCCTCTCAAAACTCTGCAGTGGCTTTCCACTTCATTCAAAGTAAAAGCCAACGTCCTTACAGTGACTGAGAAGGTACTGTACAGTCAGGCCCCCTTTGTTTCTATGATAGCACCCTCTACTACTTTTTCTCCTTGTTCACTCTATCCATGCCACCCTCGGCCTCCTTACACCTGAGAGGTGTATTACTCCCTTGATCTGAATTCTTTTCCTCCAGATATTTCCCATCATGTCTCTACTCAAATCTCATCTTCTAATTAAAGAAAGTCCTCCCACCCTGTTTAATATTGGAACCTCCTTCACCCCCACGTCCCTGGAATACACCTTCTCTCTTCATGGCTCTGCTCTTTCTTTCCCCATGGTGCTTACTTGTGGAAGTATTATCCATAGATTATATTTTCCGATAGCTTCTGTTCTGTATTCTCTTCTAGAACCTTGCAGCTGCCCCTCCCTCTCTCAGGAGACAGAGTCTGAGTCCCCTCCCCTAGGACGTAGGCAGTTACTTTTTGCTCATAACCAACAGAATGTGGTAGGAGTGATGCTGTGTGAGGTCCGAGTGTAGGTCACAAGGGGTGATGTGCTGTGCACCTGGCTAGCTGGCAGGCGCACCAGGGGAGCTCTGAGCCACCAAGTAAGAAGTTCAACGATCCTGAGGCAACCATGCTGTGAGGAAGCCCAAGCCATCTGAAGAGGCTACGTGTAGGTATTCCGGCTGGCAATCCCAGCTGAGATCGCAGGTGATAACCTACATCAACCATGAGACATGTGAGTGAAGGCGTTTTCGGATCACTTCAGTCCTAAACCTTAGAGCCTTCCAAGTCACGGCTTCAGACGTCACGGAGTAGAGACAGACTAACCCTGCTCAGCAGATTCAGCGAGCACAATAAATCAGTTGCTTTCTGTCACTAAGGTTTGGGGTAGTTTGTAACACAGCAAACAGTATTTTTCACCCTCTAAATAACATACTATATTATTTACTAACATATTACAGTAAGTAATTTATTGTGAAATAACCTACTTATTTTTAAGCCTATGGTTTACTTTGGGTTTCCTCTGCAAGCTTCACGGGGGCGAGGATCTTTTGTTCTCTGTTGTATCCCAAACTTCTAGAACAGTCCTTAGGAAATAGTAAACACTCAGAAAATATGTAATGAATAAATTTGCAAGTGATTGTCAACATATTGAATTTTAGAAGACACAGCTTTCTGTAGCTGAGAGGTCCCTTATATGTCAACTTGTGAAACCCACTCATTTGTATGAAAAAAAAAAAACTGAGCAGGGTAGGGGAGTGACAGGCAACAAACAGAGTGTGGGTTTGAGAGCAGGACTGAAGGCCCAGGAGTCTTATACCTACAATATCTGTCATTCTGTGCTCAGTATGTAGACTTCAGACATCATAGGGGCCCTGATGATCAAAGCAATACCCAGCTACAGTCTAAGGAAGTGGAAGGACTCTGCAGAAAGACTCCGATGAAGTAATGTTTTCCAATTAACCTCTAGTTAATTAGGAAATGCTGTTAACTAGAAGCTAAGCATTCAAGCTAACTGATTAATATAATTTGAACTAATTAAGGGCAAGTCTAGTCTACTTAGCGCTATTTCTGGTTGAAGCCCAAATGATGGAACAACATGTATTGTTTTCTCTCTCATTTATAAAAGCAGTTCGATTTCCACGTTAGAAAGTTTGGAGAATGCAAAAAGGTACAAAAAAGTTAATGTAAAAAAAATCAACCCAAATCCTACCATACAGGGATGGATGATTTTAAGAGATGTCATTTTGGAAAGTAAATGCACCAACGTCATCAAATGTATTTGTGTTTTTGTTTTCAAATTTTAGATTGCAGGTTCTTAGAATAGTGTTTCTCAGGCTTTGACAACTGATAAGTCACATATGTCCCTTAACACTATCTGAAACTATAAAATAAATTAAATATTATGACGAATGACTTATTAAACTTTCATGATACTGAACATGACTTGACAAACAACACACCCTCTCTTGACATTTTCTCACCAGACAGATCCACACAAGTGTGTGTAAGCACACACACATGCACCCTCGCCCACCCCACACACACTCTAAGGGGTTGGGGCCACTCGCCCAACCTCCTAGGAAATGAGGCCCAGGGATGCGAGCTGATGAGAACACCCCTTGCAACGCTGATCTCAACATCCTTCCAAAATTTATAGATTGAGTATGTGAAAAATGCTACTTTACTTAGACCATATTTGAAATTAACTGCTGGTTCTCCTGAGCTGGTAATTACTCACATCCATTGACGTCAACGTTTTTGTTCTCATAAATGTGTCAAACATGCCCCTTGCTACCATGTTTTACACTCTCATAAAGTTTTAGGGCCAGACAGGCCCTTAGTAATTACCTTATCCAAACTCTTCATTCAACTAATACAGAATTTTAAAACTCCGGGAGCAAAAATGACAGGCCACAAGGTTTGCTGTGCTGGAACATGGCTGAAAGGACCAACCCAGTTTAGCACAATTTCATGATCTCACACAGCTTCTGAAATCCTGCTGTGTAAGCTCTTTCTCAGAATATCGTCTGAGAGATAAACTTAGTCTGCAGAATCAAGAATTCCAAATGTGTAGAGTCTGAGTCAATGTGTTTTCACTGCACACAGTGAAACTGAACCTTGCATATTTGGGGCACATGCTGCATGTGAAAAAAAAACACAACACACACAAAAAAATTAGTGCAAATAACTCAGAGCCTGGCACACAGTGAATGCTGAAAAAATAGTTTGGGAAGGAGGGAGGAGAGGTGGGGGGAGAGAGAGAGAGGAGAGGAAAAGAGAAGAAAGAGATGCTTGCAGCTGTATTTCTCTCGGGGAGTGAGGTGTTCTTTAGTTCAGGAAAACATCTTGATGAGTTTTTCCTTCTATTTTATTTTACTTTTTTTTGTTTGTAAAAGGTGAGGCCTAATGGGCAAGGTCTGAAACAAAAGGAGTGAGACAAAGACAGCTAAGTTGTTCTGCATAAGAAGGTAAGGAGAGTGTGGGAGTTCTTTTCCAGGCTGCTAGGAAAAAGAAGAAAAAACAGAAATTTTGAGGACACTAGAAAGAACTTTTGGGAAGGAAGTGGATAAAGAACTCTCAGGTGACTTGTATTCAGGTGCTTCCTGTATTTGTGGCAATCCGTCTGTGATTCCCAACATCTCTGTAACAACTGTTACTCACAAACCCTTTGCGTTCGAGATGTGCTGGGGAGGAAGGAAAGGGATGTCCGATGCAGGAGTGAGGAGAAGGTGCAGAGAGAGGGAGGACAGCGGTCACCAGGTGAGACATTGACGTGGGGGGATTGAGAAGACAAGAGAGGCATGACTGTGAAGCAAGAGGTGACCAGGACCAAGCAGGCTGTCTAGAAATCACTGGCGGGGGTGATCTGCTGGCTTTTCTACAACACGTGGGATGGGGGCTCGAGCCGTTCTATCTTCCTATTGAAGGAAGCTGTGAATCCAAACTGATGCAGTAGGTCTGGGTGGGGACTGAGATGTTGCACTTCCGACATGCTCCCAGGTGGTGCTGATGCGGCTGGTCTGAGGACCACACTTTGAGTAGCAAGGCTTTAGCACCACAAAGCCTGTACCCATCAGGCAGCTTCCCGCAGCCCGGTCTCTTACCTCATATTCCTCCTTGAACCCGTAGCCCTGGCCTCTCTTCATCTGGGTGATGTGCTGGAGCAGGTCAGCCACCCGGATGGCGGGCTGGAACTGGTCCCGGGGATAGCTCATCTCCACGGGGTCGCAGGCCCGGTAGGGGTGGGTCTGGATCGTGAGGGTGGGCTGGGACAGCTCCCCGCGGCTGCCATCTGCTTCAAAGAGAAGGGGCAACACAGACCATCACCTATAGGAGTTTTGTCCCCTGTCCTCCATGCCTCCCCCAGGATGACGTGAGGAGGTCCGAGGGAACTAACTCAGGACTCAGCTGATCCAGAAAGACTAGAGACACGCTGCTTCCCTGGCGTGGCTGTGGTGGTAGATTTAAACATTAAAACCACTAGCAAACCAGTGACACAATAACCCTTGATTCGTTTCTGTTTCAAGGATGTATCTAGATGGAGTAAAGACATGGTTCCAGGTTGGCTGCCATCTCCTGCCTGTCTCCATCCTTCCTCCAGGCTTGTCAGGGTGGTCTTGGCCAATCGTGGCCAATCCCAGAACCAGGAAGGAGCCAGGCAGGCTGGATACTGGGAACACCCTCCTACTTAGGAAGCAGGTTGCCTAGAATCATCTCTGGTGTCTGCCTGCAGGTGAGGAGAACCTCAGGTCCCTGAAAGTCAGAGCCATGCATCTGCTTCTGGTCCATTTGCCTGCATCTCTGTGACCTGGTTTCTCTACTAGGGAGTTGGAGCCAGTCTTGAATCCCCAGCAGCTGGTAGGGACCCAGCCCCTCTCATTGCTCTCTCCAGCTACAGGCTCCAGAACAGTGATCGCCTTCTGTCTACTATCTAATGTCCCCTGCACGTAACCTCTTGAGCCAGGAGTGTTGCTCAAACTACTTTTCAGGTAGGGAAGCATGAACCTCTTCCTTCAGTCCTGCCAGCTACTTCTCCCAGGCCTGGGCCCTATGTCTCATCATCTCCTTTATAAAACCTCTCCTTGGTATAACTTCTATAATACCCCCTGATAATAATCTTAAACTGCCCCCTATTAGTTTGGTGCCCCTGGAAACTGATGCCTACCAACGCTGGAATTTGAATTCCTCTGTTCCCTGTAGACCAGTTAAATCACTTTCTTACCCAACCAGTTCCCTGCTGGGCATACGCTGTCAGTCCTTCAGGGCCAGTTCATCTCATCTGGAGCCATTCAGGCTTGGTATTTCCAACCTCCTTCCAAAGACACGGACAGTCTATGCCCTAGGCCCTCCTGTCTGTGGCACACAGGAGATGAGAACCAGCAGATTTGCGGCATCTCCCCCAGATGTTTCCAGGCATCACACGGCACCTCAGGAGCCCTAGACCAGACTCATTTCCTGGAGGTTTAGCATGTATTCCTCATTTTCTGCAACCTGACTTTTCAAAATCCATGTTGCTTTTGGCTTGTTTGTCTCTATGTCACAATAATCAATCAAACACTGAGTCTGCAGGTGAAAGTGAACTTTCCTCCTATGTGACAGCATGAGCAAAACTATTTTTTGGAAGCAAAGGATTGCCAGCAGAAAGATCTGGAATATATAAGTGTATGCACCAGGAAGAAGGGCCTGGGTGAGGTGGTAGCACAACTTTCCTGAAAAGCATGAGAAAAATACTGCTCACTTTTCTCCCAGGAGTTTTAGGGAACAGGGAACACATCTTCACTGGCCCCGCTTACACGTGGAGCTTGGCAAACGTGGGCACTGCTTCCCTTCCCCATCATGCCCTTGTGGTCAGGAACTGGGTTTACTGAGACCTCACTCTACATCAGGGGGTCTGGTAGACACTGGAAACGTACAGAATACAGCCTTTACCCTCAAGGCTTGATGTCCAGTAGGGAAGTCGGATAAGAAGAACCATCGGAAGCAGAAGAAAAGAAGCTGGAAAACCCAAGCACATCTAGGCCACATCAAGGAGGCTGAGATGGAACAGAGGTGGTGGGTGGACATGGGACGGGGGAAAAGCTCTAAGAGATGGTATGAGGCAGGCCTGGAAAGGCTGTGGGTGTCTAAGAAGCTTCAAGCCAGTGGGAAGCCACTGAAAGATCTGAAGAGGACTCCTTGTCTTTAAAGACACACTATTTCTGATAGGTGTCCCAGTGCCATAGAAAGGAGGCATCTTTCCGGTGAGTGTCCCCCTGTGATGCTGTGGTGCGGTTGGGGATGGAGGAGAAAGGAGAAGGGTTTGCTCTTCTGGATGCTGCACGTCACAGTTCCCAGGAGAGGATGAGGTGGAGTCTACGCCTGGAGCCCTGTGAATGTCTCCCCCCTCAGCCACCATCACAGATGGTGACAGATGTCTTCCGAGACCCACGGGCCTGGGGCCTGGGCTGCCTGGGAGGCCAGCTGCCTGGCAGAGACAGCCTTCTTAGGAACGGGCACCTGACAATTTTTGTGAGATGCCAAATGTTTCCAAAACCAAATAGCTACCAATATGGATATTTCCCCTAAACACATTGCTAGACAGACTGTAAACTTGGTGTCAGCAAAACCAACACTGGAATGGAAAATAAACGTGTCTGAAATTTAGCAACTTGGATTGCTGTAACATTTGTAATCATGTCAACGCCGGTGCTAATGATGCTATGAAGACTCGGAACCAAGGGATTTTCAAGGTTTATTAATTCAACTAGTTGGACTCCCTTTCCCAATGTGTCTTACTTCACCTATTCCCTTATTAACCTCTGATAATGCAGAAGTGATGCCTTTTATCACAGCCCATTTCACCAGACGCACTATACTTAATTTTCCATCATTAGGTTTAATGAAAACCCAATTTCACAACTCACTTCTCTCAGGAACTTACAAGTAATGCTACGTTATTTTTTTATCAGCCCCAAGTAAAAAGCGTTATGATGTTCCTGTTCGAGAGGGAGCCTTGAAATCAACGTGCGACTCTGCTGCTAATTCAACAAGGGCGCTGGAATCCACAGGCTGCTCATAAAATGTAACTCAAACCAGCTGGCCCAGGGAGAGAACATTTTTCATTTTTCTCCTCACCAGACCCTTAATTTTCATGCCATTTCAACTTCTCATTTATGGGTCTTGAATGTTTATTTATCACACAGTAATATTTTGGATTGCTTTTGCACTTTTTTTTTTTTTGGAGCCGTTGCCTAGGGCTGTGAATTCCCTTGCAATGACTCCTGTCGCTGCCTGGGAGGGGGCTGCAGAGTGAGCCAAGGGATTAAGGTGACCACCGCCCCTCTGATTTCTTCTCTTCTGTCTCTCCACCAGTCACTCTTCCTTCTTCCTTGGGGACCTGGCTTTAACTTTCTCTTTTTCACCTCCTGCTACCACCTGTTACAGGCCTCCCACTAGCATCAGCCACGTATTTCCAATCGCTTGCTAGGAACTGCCACTCCAACTGGCGAACAAGTATTTCCTGGGTACCTGTACTGTACAAAGCACAGTATTAGGTGCTGTGTTCAGACAGCAGGGTGGAGGAAAGTATGTCCAGAAGGAGATACACACACCAGTGCCCTTGCAGGAGAGAACAAGAGAGGAAGTGTGCACGAACAAGTCTGACAAAGGCGGGAAGGGATGGGCTCCAAAAAGATAACATGCTGCAGAGTTAGGGACTGTGGAAACGTTGCCCAAGCTTTAGGCATTCGCACCCGACTTCTGTGGTTTTTGCCATAAGTATGTTCAGCCCGTACCAGCTCTGTTCAATAGAATTCTGCACCATGATGGAGAGGGTCTGTGCCCACGCGGTGCAGTATGGTAGCCACTTACCACATGCGACTACTGAGCATGTGAAATGTGGCTAATGGCAATGGGGAATTTGCATTTTACCGCATGTGGCTTATGGCTACTGTCCTGGGCAGTGCAGATCTAGGCAAAGAAAGAGACAGGGAAAGGGAGAGCACTCTGCTGTAGGCGACAGAGGTCCAGTGGAAACATGACGTGAACCGTGTAGGAAATTCAAAATTTTCTTGTAGCATCACTAAATAAGGTAAAAAGGAATTAGCGAAATTAATTTCCATAATAAATATGATTTAACTCAATACATTGAACTAGTTCAACATATAGTTGGTATAAGATTACTCATGATATATTTGACATTCTTTATTCATACTAAGGCTTTGAAACCCAATGTGCAGTTTACACTTATAGAAAGGGCATTCAACACAGACTAGCCATCTTTCCAGTGCTCAACACCACATGTGGCTGGTCAGTGGCTGGAGTATGGGACAGGGCGAGTGTACACAGACATCCAAGCCAATCTAGTTCTAGAGAGAGCTGACGTCGAGCTGGAGTGAACTCTAACATACACTGACCGAGGGTAAGACAGCTCCAGCGCAGCACTGACCGACAGAACTATGACGGAACTGCTCTGTGTTTGCACATCCAGTACGGTAGCCACCAGTCACCTCTGGCTCCTGAGCACTTGAAATGCGGCTAGTGTGACTGAGGAACTGAATTTTTACGTTACCTTAATTTCAATTAATTTAGATATAAATAGCTGCATGTGGCCAGTGACTACTGCACTGCACAGTGCAGATCTATACAGTTATGTCCTCAAAGCTTCTCTTTAAGTCAACTTTCAGCCATTGTTTTACATTATCTCATTATGAATGATGATATCAATGGGATATAGTGATGATAGTGAAATATAAAATCATGGGCATGATACGCTAGTTTTGTTTCAATGCTCACTAAAATATTTACGCAACTATTTAAGAAATGGCCTGCCCAGTCCCATGACAGAAGCGTAATCCACTCCCTGAGAAATGTTATAAATCTGAGTCCTAGAATCAGACAGAATGGGGTTTATATCTTTAATCAACCAATAATGGGCTGTGTGACCTTGGCCAAATGACTAATATTTCTGAGCCTCAAGGTTTTCATCTCTAGTGCAGGGGAAGTACGAGTGGTGAGGACTCAAAGAGAGAATGCGTGGTAAGTGCTCCCACAATGACTGGTGCCTGGGAGGCGGGGAGAGAACAGTGGGTGTCCTGATGTTGCCCGAGATGTCCTGTGGGGACACGGGAATTCACAGCCTGGTGATGGCACTGGGGGATCTTTCGGGGCTGCTCTCTTCTTTCCTCCACGACACACTCTGGAGCCATCTACTTTGCTCCATTCCTGCTGCTGCTGTCCTAGTCAGTCCTCCATGACAGGGTTATTCCATCAGGCTCCTAACGGCTCTTTCTGCTTTCACAGTCCTTCCTACAC